CGTTTTGGCACGTGGGGCGTATGCTCTGCTCTTGCAGTGACGCATGTCCCTCTGCTTGTCTTGTGGTGCAGGGTTATTCACAAGTCAGACGGCCCGACCAGAAAAGCTATGCTTCATTCGGATGACTTTAACAGTTCCGATGGTGGTGTATCTGCCTGTGAGTGCGAGAGTGCGTGTGTGCGTGCGTGCGTGAGCCCGCGCGCGCGCCAGCGTGTGGGCGAACGGGGGCATGGGCCGTGGGGGGTGGTCTACAAAGCTAGCCACAGCGTGACAAGATGCACTTGCACAGAACATTCTCAGCTTCAAGGAGAAAGTAGACAGAAGAACCGCAATGCAGGCCACCCTAATGCCCATTGTGGCTGATTGTTTGTCTGGTTGTGTGGTTGTGTGTGCGTGTGTGCGCGCGCGGTCCTGCGCGCCTGCGCGCCTGCGTGCAATGTGTGTGTGTGTGTGGTGTGTGTGGTGTGTGTGTGTGGTGTGTGTGTGTGTGTGTGTGTGTGTGTGTGTGTGTGTGTGTGTGGTGTGTGTGTGTGGTGTGTGTGGTGTGTGTGTGTGGTGTGTGTGGTGTGTGTGTGTGTGTGTGTGTGTGTGTGTGTGTGTGTGTGTGTGGTGTGTGTGTGTGTGTGTGTGTGTGTGTGTGTGTTGTGTGTGTTGTGTTGTGTTGTGTTGTGTTGTGTTGTGTTGTGTTGTGTTGTGTTGTGTTGTGTTGTGTTGTGTTGTGTTGTGTTGTGTTGTGTTGTGTTGTGTTGTGTGCTGTGTTGTGCTGTGCTGTGCTGTGCTGTGCTGTGCTGTGCTGTGCTGTGCTGTGCTGTGCTGTGCTGTGCTGTGCTGTGCTGTGCTGTGCTGTGCTGTGCTGTGCTGTGCTGTGCTGTGCTGTGCTGTGCTGTGCTGTGCTGTGCTGTGCTGTGCTGTGCTGTGTTGTGTTGTGTTGTGTTGTGTTGTGTTGTGTTGTGTTGTGTTGTGTTGTGTTGTGTTGTGTTGTGTTGTGTTGTGTGTGTGTTGTGGTGTGGTGTGGTGTGGTGTGGTGTGGTGTGGTGTGGTGTGGTGTGGTGTGGTGTGGTGTGGTGTGGTGTGGTGTGGTGTGTGTGTGTGTGTGTGTGTGTGTGTGTGTGTGTGTGTGTGTGTGTGTGTGTGTGTGTGTGTGTGTGTGTGTGTGTGTGTGTGTGTGTGTGTGTGTGTGTGTGTGTGTGTGTGTGTGTGTGTGTGTGTGTGTGTGTGTGTGTGTGTGTGTGTGTGTGTGTGTGTGTGTGTGTGTGTTTGTGTGTGTGGTGTGTGTGTGTGTGGTGTGTGTGGTGTGTGTGGTGTGTGTGGTGTGTGGTGTGTGTGTGTTGTGTGTGTGTTGTGTGTGTGTGGTGTGTGTGTGTGGTGCTTGTGTGTGTGGTGTGTGTGTGTGGTGTGTGTGGTGTGTGTGTGTGTGGTGTGCGTGGTGTGTGTGTGTATGGTGTGTGTGTGTGGTGTGTGTGTGTGGTGCGTGTGTGTGTGGTGTGCGTGTGTGTCGTGTGTGTGTGTGTGGCGTGTGGTGTGGTGGTGTGGTGGTGTGGTGGTGTGGTGGTGGTGTGGTGGTGTGGTGGTGTGGTGGTGTGGTGGTGTGGTGGTTTGGTGTGGTGGTGTGGTGGTGTGTTGGTGTGTTGGTGCGTTGGTGTGTTGGCGTGTTGGCGTGTTGGCGTGTTGGCGTGTTGGCGTGTTGGCGTGTTGGCGTGTTGGCGTGTTGGCGTGTTGGTGTGTTGGTGTGTTGGTGTGTTGGTGTTTTGGTGTGATGGTGTGTTGGTGTGTTGGTGTGTTGGTGGGTGTGTGTGTGTGTGTGCGCGCGTGCGTGCGTGCGTGCGTGCGCGCGTGAGTTTGTGCATGTGTTCGCGTGTGTTCGTGTGTGTGCGTGTGTGGGTGTGTGTGTGGGTGTGCGCGCGTGTGGGGGCGCGTGCGCGTAGAGAGCGCGCGGGTACGCGGGTGCACGGGCGCGAGGGTGCGCGAGTGCGTGGGTAAACGTGCGCGTGCGCGTGCGCGTGCGCGCGTGTGTGTGCGTGTGTGCGCGTGCGCGTCTGCGTGTGCGTACCACCCGCTGCCCAACGAAGACGGTGGTAGATGTGCTGTGAAGCGGCCTCAAACACCAGACTGCGTACCTGCATTTTTCATGTGTACATAGACTAGTTGACTTGAACTTTTCTTGTGTGAACCAGTCCCCTCTCAACGTTCAGCCGCACTGCGCACGTCTGAAAAGCGTGTGTATGCGTGTGTGTCTCTGTGTGTGTGGCCTGTGTGCCTGTGTGCCTGTGTGCCTGTGTGCCTGTGTGCCTGTGTGCCTGTGTGCCTGTGTGCCTGTGTGCCTGTGTGCCTGTGTGCCTGTGTGCCTGTGTGCCTGTGTGCCTGTGTGCCTGTGTGCCTGTGTGCCTGTGTGCCTGTGTGCCTGTGTGCCTGTGTGCCTGTGTGCCTGTGTGCCTGTGTGCCTGTGTGTGTGTGCCTGTGTGCCTGTGTGCCTGTGTGCCTGTGTGCCTGTGTGCCTGTGTGCCTGTGTGCGTGTGTGTCTGTGCGTCTGTGTGTCTGTGTGTTTGTGTGTGTGTGTGTTTGTGTGCCAGGTGCCAGTTGGTGATGGTATTTGGCGCCTTTGGCAGCCGAGTTGTGAAGTATGAGCAGCGCGCTGAGGCATGGACTCGGGACAAACGGGCTCTGGGATTGCCAAAGGGCTCCCTGCCCAAGGCCACCGGTTAATTTATCGGCTTGCACGAACGCATCTCTAGCATCATCTTCCTCACTAGCTCACCACTTCTTTCTCTCTTCCTCTCTCTGCAGCACCACTGCTTAGTTTGGCGGATTCATCGGTTTAGCTGAGCGACCTTTTGGGCACACGTTGCACTCGTCTGCGCCCCTGTCGCTGGCAAATTCCCCCAAATCGCAAGGCTCGCAGCTGGTTCCTCCTGCGATCAACAGGTTGGGGCCAAGTGAGTCATAGTCAAAACCTGCTGGTGTTGTGAAACTGTCTACCCATGTAAAGAATTATCAGGGCGGCTGCACCCATTTCTGGTTGGGATTATCCCTTAGTAACCTTCACCTTCCCGGGTTTTGATTGTGGCTCAAACGAACCATGTCTCATGGCCACACGTGATTCTTGGTGTTTCCTGAGTTCACGGAACCCCCCTGGGTGGATTTTGCATGTCTCTAGCCAGGCTTGGCTTTTGGCATCCATGCCGCCAGCCACCCTAGCACCTCACGAGCTGTCCCTCAACCAGGCAACGTTTATAATGATTGACACATCAACGAGCTGGTCTTACCCACGCATCGGTGAGCTCGTCAGAAAGGACAATGGGTCCTGGAGAGTCTTGGAAGTACCCAGCTTCGCAATCCAGACATGCAGGCATGCCCTCTATCGGCGCATAGGTCCTTGGCACGCGCGCTGGCGCTTCTTGCAAGCCCGGTCAGCCAAACAAAAAGGAAAAATAGAAGGCGGGAAGCACAATCACCAGGTGTCGCAGCGATGAGGACCATGCAAGTACAATGCACACCAACATAATACCTGAAGGTCAGTCGGCATGTCGAGTATAAATATACAGTCACATGTGTATGACAAATATTCCATACATATATACGTATAGTGCTAACGTGCGATGATACAATTCTGTGTTATGCACTACAACTATCCCGCAGAACCCGGCGTTGATCTAAACTCCAGAGGGTGTGGCTGGGGCTGGGCGAAAACAACCGAACGACGCATAAACAAACATGCGTGTGTATGTGTGTGTGTGTGTGCGCGTGTGCGTCGAGCCGTTGGCTGTTTTGGGCTACCCCGTTGGTAGCCCGCTTCCTCACTCCAGCGGTCATCCAACATTTACACCCGCCGCAAACCAGATTCATAAAATTCATACTGGCTCTTCGTACATTCAGCCTGCAATTAATGGTTGAGGCAATCATCAGGCCAAAGGCATCTGACCGAGGACTCAGCTTAGCCTGCAGCTCACGACAAAGATGCCAAACAGCAAATGGACACACAAAACAAACACAACCGCGGTGCCCTGAAGTGTCAACCCTTTCACCACCCTTGCGCTCCAAAACAACTTCCCTCTCTCCCTCTCTCTTTGTCGCGCTCTCTCTCTCTCTCTTTTTATCGCATCCAGCTCTTGTCGACTGTGTGGCGTTCTTCCAATTTCCAGAGGCAACTGGAAGCACGAAACTCTGGGAGCAAAATTGGGCCACCGCAGGGTCGCAATCTCTGAGAGAGAAGGCAGAAGCGTGTCCGGCCTTGTGCAAAACACGTTGCGCAGGCTCGAAAGCTCTGTCCATCTCACTCAAGGACTCACTTGCGATCATCTTCATTGCCATGACCCAGAGTGCCAACATTGGCTGAAGCATGTTGAAACCATCTATGCCGACAAGGTCGGCCTTGGGCTCTGTACAGAAAGGGTCAGCCAGTCCGGTGCCGACTTGCCAAGGTCAGTGCATGGAAAGCTTAACAAAGTCAACAGGTCTTCGGGATCAACGGGCAGAACAAAAGGGGGGGGCTTTGCCAATGTTTCCTGGCAGGCAGCCTCCCTCTCAGCCTCAACCCACCTGCTGTTGGAAGAGAAGGGGGAATCTGTTCAACTCGAATTACTGCCACTGGCTCCAAGAAGGCTGTGCGAGTGCGCAAAATTGCGCCACACTCCCCAAGTTAGCCCCTGAATATGACAGCGCCAACTTGTCACACCTCCAAAGATAGTTCCTGAACATGGGAGGTGTCAGAAAGTTCTCAAAGAGATCAGGTTCCATTCCTCTTCGGATGCATTGGCCAGTGCGTAGCCATCCCTTCTGGAGCCAAGGCGAAGTAGTAGGCCACTAGATCTATTCAAGGCCGGCGCATGTGTGGCCGGCCTTGCGTCTCCGCCAACCAGTAGCAGGAGTGTCACTTGAAAGATGGCCTACGTTTTTGTATTTGCGCGGGGTCGCGACAGTCGTTCTTTGTCACCACCCGGAGGAGCGAGGACAAAACTAAAAAGTGCGTGTTGCTTTCCATGAGGTTGCTTCTCTTGAGCCATTGCCACTAAAAAAACCGCCTCGCCGTCGCTACCCCCGTCTTCAGAGCTCGATGACTAGGGCGGAGCCTTTGACTCCCACGCCCCATCCCGAGAGGCCGCACTTGGACCCATAGCCAGCCCAGGCCTCAAAGTCCTGCGTGCCAGGAAGTGGGGGGAGAGGGTTAACTGAAGCCGCCCAAGTCGGACCTGATGTTCAAAGGAGGTTTGGAATAAACATCCATAGTCCGAAAATACTTGCAAAATGTACTTGCGCAGCTTCGTGGGAGGCCCAGCACTTTTGCAATGCGATTTACAAATTCCGTGGCAGGCACAATAGCACTTTCGCACGGTGAGGCAAAGATTTCGAGGCGGGCGCACCACTTTCGCAAGGCAAGGTGCAGATTTCGTGGCAGGCGAAAGGTCAGGTGCAAATTTCTTGGAAATTGGAAAATAGAGAGATAGATGGATATATAGATAGAGAGAGATATGGATAGATAGATAGAGAGAGAGGAGAGAAAGATAGATAGATAGGTACACAGCTAGATAGACAGATAGATAGAGATAGGAAACAGATAGACAAATAGATAGATAGATAGATAGATAGATAGATAGATAGATAAATAGATAGATAAACAGACAGATCGATAGATAGATTAGATAGATTAGATAGATAGATAGATAGATAGATAGATAGATAGATAGATAGATAGACAGACAAACAAATAGATAGATAGATAGTATGAGATGAGATGAGATAAGATAAGCTAGGATAGACAGGATAGATAGGATAGATACGATAGATAGGATAGATAGGATAGATAGGATAGATAAGTAGATAGATAGATTAGATAGGAGAGGACAGGATAGGATAGGATAGGATAGATAGATAGATAGATAGATTAGATAGATAGATACATAGATGCATAGATAGGTAGAATAGATAAATAGATAGATAGATAGATAGATAGATATATAGATTAGATTCGATTCGATTCGATTAGATTAGATAGATAGATAGATAGATAGATATATAGATAGATAGATAGATAGATAGATACACGATTGATAGATAGATAGATCGATAGATAGATAGATCGATCGGTAAAATAGGTGACAAATAGATAGCTAGATAGACAGACAGGCAGACAGAGACACAGATAGATAGATAGATGGATAGATAGATAGATAGATAGATAGATAGATAGATACATAGATGGATAGATAGATAGATTAGATAGATAGATAGATAGACAGACAGACAGACAGATAGACAGACAGACAGATAGATAGATAGATAGATCGATAGATATGTAGATTAGATTAGATTAGATTAGATTAGATTAGATTAGATAGATAGATAGATAGATAGACGATTGATAGATAGATAGACCGATAGATAGATAGATCGATTGGTAAATAGGTGACAAATAGATAGCTAGATAGACAGACAGGCAGACAGAGACACAGACAGATAGATAGATAGATGGATAGATAGATAGATAGATAGATAGATAGATACATAGATAGATAGATAGATAGATAGATAGATAGATAGATAGATTAGATATATATATATATATATAGATAGATAGATAGATAGATAGATAGATAGATAGATAGATAGATAGATAGATAGATAGATAGATAGATAGATAGATAGATAGATAGATAGATAGATCGATCGATAGATAGATAGATAGATAGATATATAGATTAGATTAGATTAGGTTAGATTAGATTAGATTAGATAGATAGATAGATAGATAGATAGATAGATAGATAGACGATTGATAGATAGATAGACCGATAGATAGATAGATCGATCGGTAAATAGGTGACAAATAGATAGCTAGATAGACAGACAGGCAGACAGAGACACAGATAGATAGATAGATGGATGGATAGATAGATAGATAGATAGATAGATAGATAGATAGATTAGATAGATAGATAAGATAGATAGATAGATAGATAGATAGATAGATAGATAGATAGATAGATAGATAGACAGACAGACAGACAGACAGACAGACAGATAGACAGACAGACAGATAGATAGATAGATAGATAGTTAGATAGATAGATAGATAGATAGATTAGATAGAAGTCAGAGAGAGAGAGGTTGAGAGAGTGATCGGAAAAGCGAGATAGATTTGCCGGATACAGAGGTAGATAGATCGAGTGCACGAATAGGTAGGTGGAGAGAGGAACAGGCAAACAAATAGGTAGATAGACAGATCGATAGATTCGATAGATAGATAGCTAGCTAGATAGATAGGTCAATAGTGACGTGAATATGCAAATAGAAAGCAAGAAAAAAGACAGAAAGGACAGAAACAAGAGAAAGACACAAAAGAAAGACAGAACAAAAGAAAGAAGGCAAAGACAAGAACTAATGGAAGGACAGACGGAAAGAAAGAAGATAAAACGAAGGAACGGAAAGAAGAACACTAACTATAGTTCTTCTGTTTTTGAAATTTCCGCCCACCAGCTTCGCAGGCATTATGCTAGGGTTCAAGGAGAAAAAGCGAAGCCCCACATTATGGGTCCGTTTGAATTGGTCTGACGGGCAGCTTTATTTCGCTCTTTGTCCACCACTTCACTTCTGGGAGAAAGAGGCGTCACGGGCTCATTGGCATGAAGTCCTATGCGTGGTACGCTCCTTCTTTTTTCCGGAGTGCAGCTGAATCCTGACAAGGCCTCTCTGCAACCTTCCCCCATCATCCTCTTGGTGCAAACCAGTTGTGCAGTGATCCTGGTAGAAAAAGGGAACCCTTGGGGATCCCCCGTCATCCTCTTGGTGCGAACCGTCTTCAACATTTGGAAGGTTGCCTGAGGATGCGTGTATGACACAGTTGCCCAGTGACCCTAATAGAACAAGGGGACCCTTGGGGATAGCCATTTGGAAAGCCACCAAAAACGGGCCTTACGGTGGAATCCTCCGGGCCTTACGGTGGATAAGAGTGCAGAAATAGATCCAGGGCGAGCAAGGAAAGTGTCCCTGGTCTGAACCCCAGGCTGGTTGGCATTCGAGGGAGACATGGCAGCCATGGCATGCATACAGGCAAGGAGAAGGGTAGCTAGTTTTCCGGAGCCCCTAAGCAGTTGGTTGAGTTTCGGATTCATGGCTGTGGCATTTACAAATGGTCAGGACACCAAACAGGTCAAAAGGCTGCGTGTTCGACAAGTGAGTCACAACAAAATGGGCAAGTAGCCTAACGCCAGTTCAGAGCCACGCGCCAGACTTAGGCCCCTTGCAAAACGTTACAATTAACTTCCTGGTTGAAACGGAATATGAGGGAAACCTTAAAGAGCAAACAGGTCAGTGCGGTGAGACGATAACATTTGTCAAGCTTCAGATTGCCCCTTCCGGTCCTGCTTTCTTGCCCCAGGCTCACTCCGTGCGGCATGAAGCTGGCTGTCGACCTCAGAAAAAAACCAGGCACACTCCGCCAGTGTGAGCGGTGCCATAATTTCACTGACTCAGTTGTTCAGTGACCCCGGAAAAAAGGGAACCCTTTTTGGGGAAGACCATTTTTAGTGGGGCAGCCACCAAAAAATTGGCAAAAGGGTGCCACCTTGAACAACTGAGCGGAACATCAAAGTCACATTGGCATGTGTCGCGACTTCATGGGCACAGCCCGTGCGACAACCGCTAGCAAAACTCCAAAGCAACCTCGCGCGCTACTCGCCAGCAGATTCTTCAAGCAGCCCTGTCGGCGTGTGTTACCTCAAAGTCAGCTGGAGGGGGCAGCTTGCACGACTCCAGCTGAAACAAAACTGATGAGTGGCTGACTGCCTTTAAGTGACCTGGGCTGGCCATGTCGCAAACCCACACAACCAGCCCGCAAAGCATGGCATCTCATCGCGCATAGGCTAGAATATCTGGGTGGCAAAATGTTGGGACCAGCAGCAAAACGCTAACACACGCGCACACACACACACACACACGTTGAGGAAGCCATGGCACAAACTGCAAGCGGTCTGCACATTGGGGCAGCTGTTCCGCCAAGTTTCTGCAGCTGACATTGTTTTACACCCCCAAAGCGTTGCTCTTCTTTTGCCCATGGCGTGTCAAGTCCATGCATTTTCTGCGCAAGCGAGGTTGAACAAGAACTCAAAAACGATCCTTTCGGCTTCAACCAGGTCGACTATTCCAAGCGGCCAAGATTTGGCAAGCCAGAGCCAGCGGGACTGTCGCACCGTCCACAAAAACCAGAGGGGCGTTCTCGTACACACTCATCTGTCCTCAGTAGCCATGGGATTTGCGGGCTGCTCTGTCAAACAACCCCAAGAAGCCAACCCATTCGGTTGCTTAAGTACATCTGAACCTAACTTAAACCTGCGCATGGTGACAAGCGGAATCAATGACACAAATAGAACAAAGGCCGCCATACCTTTCGCTGGGCTCAAAAAAACAGGGAGGTCAACATCCCACCATTCCCCAATTCACCCGTGCCATTCCTCGAGAATTTGGGATGTGTCAGGACAGGTGGACCCGCAAAATGTGTTTTCTGTTTCCTTTAGGCTTTAAACCAGCCTAAAAGGGTGCCCTGAAAACACAAACACACACGCCCGAATAGAGGTTTCCGAAAATGAACCCTATTGGCTGTTTTCCCCTTGTGGGAAAACCACCATCCAACTTTTTAGGGCCACTCGGAGAAACCCAACAAGATCCTTCTTTAGAGAAAACGGGTCCCAAGAGAAAGTTGGGGCCCTTATCTTGCTGGTGCTCAGTGTGTGGGAATGAACCAGGGGTCTCCTTAAAGGCAACCACCAGTTGGATGGTTTACTAGGGTCGTTGCATTTCTCATTCCCTGCATCACTCGCGCCAGAAAGCTATCCGTCTGAGGCTCGGCACTTGGCGCAGAAATGCCCCAAGTTGGCTGCGAGGCCCTGATGCAGTGCCTCCCGGACATCGGTGAGGCCAATTCCCGGCAAGCCTGGCTCGAGCCGCGGAAGAAGTGCAGGCCAAATGGCCAAAGAATCGGTTGGTGCTAGGTTAGCGGCTTGGTTGGCCAGTGAGGGTAGGTGAGTAGGTAAGTAGGTAGGTAGGTAGGTAAAGTAAGAACTTAAGTAAGTAAGTAAGTAAGTAAGTAAAAAAGTAAGTAAAGTAATAAGGTAAAGTAAGGTAAGGTGCGGTGAGGTAAAATAAGGTACGGCAAGGTAAGGTGAGTGAGTGAGTGAGTGTTAGCTAGTTGTTTAGTTAGTCAGTTAGCTGGTCGGTTGGTTAGCCGGTCCGAAAGTCACTGAGTCAGTCCGTCCCTCCGTTCCACGGTTAGTTAGCTAGCTAGTTAGTTATGCAGTGAGTTGCACAGTTGAATAGCTTGCTAGTCAAACGTAAATAGCTAGCTAGCTGGTTGGCGCCAACCAGCTAGTTCGTGAAGTGGACTGGCCAAACAAAGTCGAAACTGTTTGTTTGCCATCGTGTCTTCAAAAAAACAAGTCTAGGAACTCAAAAAGTATAACCTGCCTGCAAGCGCCTTCACCATGTTGAAGAATGAGGCGCAGGCCTGCCATCGAGAAGGGAAGGCGCAAGTGACCAGGCCACATCGCGCCCCTAATTGCGAATGGGGTCCTCTCGGCAGCAATATAACGCGCAAGGTGGATATTTTTCACTCGCGGCCCTCGTCCGGTGGCACTGCACGCATCCAAAGGCCGGAGCCTTGTCTGCATTTATGTCTGTGTGTGTGTGCATTTGTCGGACATCTATAATATGTATATATATATATATATACTGTATATGCCTGATTCTGTATCCACAAGTCGACAGGTCTTGGGTGCTGCCCATTGAAGCTAGTTTCCACTGCCCTTGGTACCCACAGCCTCCTTCCCAACACGCCACCAGGTTTTTTCAGGAAAGAGGCCTTAGGGCTCCCAGTCAGGTTTCGCATTCGTCGGCAGGGAATGACGTTAATTGTTGGCTTGTTCCAACTTTGCCAAACGAGCCACAGTCCAAAACGAGGTAATTGGACAGGGGACAGTCCCCTGCCCCCAGAAATGAGTGCGCATATCCGCCATTTATTTGCATGGATTTGGCATTGTCCAAACCTGCCTCGTGGCTGATGAAGTTGACAACTGCCAGCTTTGCCCATGGCAAGTGGACAAAGTCGTAGGGCTTCCTAAGGCAAAGAGCGCAGGGCCCAATTCCAAGTTGCGCGACTTTTCCCTTTTCAGTTTGGACCAGGCCAAATAAGCCGAAACAGAGCTTCGTGCCTTTTTGGAGGGGGCAGGCTGCCTGTCCGTACATCCCAATCTTGACTCCCAATGCAGGCTGGCGTGGGCAAAGCTAGTCACAATTTAAACTAGGTCCTCCAGTGGAGAGGATGGAATAAGGGTGCCCTTTTTTCTGTAGTCTATTTGAGTAGGGAAACCCTCCCAAAAAAAGGGTAAAAGGGCACTACTGGGGGACCTAGTAAAGTTTGAGTGGCTCCAAAAAGCAAAGCACGCGTTTTCGTGCCTACATCTCATGCGTCCAAAGCCAGGCTAGTGCCGCCATCCAACCGCCGAAGCGAGTGACAGGTTGTGTTCAGATGGTGGTGAAAGATTGGGTGGCCGACAAAAACCAAACATAACTCGAATGTGCCGTTTCTGGCCTGGATCCCAGCTGAAAACACATACAAAGGCAGAGAAGTCCATGTGTTCCAGCCTTGTCTGTTTGTCAGCCCAAAGAGGATTCTCCATCAATTTGAAAGAATCTCAAAATGTTCTCCACGATTCCCTTTCTATCAAACTGCCCGTTTTCCACTACTCCTGGTCTTAGATACTATATTTCGTGATTACTAACCTTTCACCTATTGCTATCCCTTCACCTATCCACCATGCAGCCCGAAACAGCTGAACACTTGGCACTCAGCATTCTTCCCAGGACGCAGCCTCCGCCAACATCCCACTAAAGCGGCATGTCCAAGTTAAGGCCTGGCAAGCATCGCCCTCGTTCATCCACAGGGGTGCCAACAAACATCTGCAAGTTGCAACTAAGAAATCTGTTCACATCTAAACGATTCATGAATCTGCAAATGCGGAGCTTAGTCACAGTAGCCCCATGGGCAAGAAGCGCCGAAGAAGAAGTTGCCAATATGGGCTCTTCCAACTTGATCTTACAGCTCAAGTCTAATCCGCCAAGATACTGATGCCACTGGCCACACAAGCCTCGGCGCCGCGGAATCTGTGCCACCTTCAGTTTCCTTCCGATGGGTCTCTTAACATTCCCAAAACTGGATCTTTCGGTTTTCCCTCTGGTTGCCCTCCAAACTGCAAATTTTACCACGACATGTCCAATACCTGACCGGCGAGAAATAAGAAGTAAGAATTGATCCTCAAGCAAAGGATCCTTTTTACCCCCGAGCGGCGAGCCATGAATTCCGGCTGCAACCCATCTGTTTTCGCCGCTGGAAGGCCGGCTCAAATGTTCGCTGTTTTGGTGCCAGTTGCTGTGGACGAAATCCTCCTAGGAAACACCGAAAAGAAACCCAACGGAAGGATGATTCCCCTGGAAATACCAACCCAATTTGCTCTCCCATGGTTTCAAAGCGGGGCGAAATGGATTTCGTCCATCCACCAAGCTGCAAATTATTCACCATATGGCTGTGGGTCAAAAATAGGGCAACTCCCAAAATGGGTTACCCTGGTAAGGCGAACAAGGACCAAAACTGCGGCCCCCTAGTGTTTTAGTTCTGACCCTTTCCCGTATGTCCAAAACCTGGAGCCAAAAAAAATCAAACGGGCCCGCAAGGTGAGCTCGTTTTTCCCTGGAGCTGGCCATAAAATAGGCAGAAATCCAGGCGGCTCCCAAGGAGTGGCAAATTGACTCACGTCTTCTGCCCAGGAGCGGTGCAACTCAATCAAAAACTCCTCCTGAGTCATCTTCCGGGAGAGCTTGAAGAGCAAAGAGGTCGCCGTCGTCGACAAGCCGACGCCTGCAACAGGCCCGAAGAGGCCTCTCTCGTTGGAGGGCAGAGCGCGGCTCAGCTGAACATTTCGGCGCCCCAAGCAGGCAGTCAAAAACAAAAGCATCCCGCGCAAATGAGCAGTCGGCGATCTGTCTTTGCCCCAAAAATTGCGGCTGTCCATTTGGCTTCCCCTGAAAACCATCCCGCCCCCCAAAACGGTACCCTCAAAAAGAAACATACCCAGATCCTGCCTGCACCTGAGAACTTGCCGGGGAGTGGCATGAAAGGCTCAGATGTGCGTTGGAACAAGCGCGCGCAAACCCCAGTCAGACCTTCGAGCCGGCTGTGCTGCGTTTTGGCAAAACCTAGGAGCGCATTTTGCACTTGTTTCTGCTGTTCTTTGTGTGCTTCCCTTGCTGCACCGACCCCGCTGCAAAAAGTGTCAACTTGCGGGTTCAATGGAAGACTCGAACTGTGTCCTGAAAGGCCCACACGAGAGCCCACGTTCCAGGTGTGGGCTTCAAGTGTGCCACCCTTCAGATTCAATTCGCATGCAACATGGAGACACTTCAACTCTGCTCAAGTTGATTGAACCCACTCGGCCCAAGAACCGCCGGCGATCGAGCCCACTGCCAGCCGCAAGCTCCGCGGTTTCCAAGGTTTCCAACATGAGATCTGGGGAATAGACGGACCCCATGTCCCAAAATCCCATCCCAAGGCGGGTTGGTACTCCTTGCACCAAGGCTCCCGGGTTCACATTGCGTGCACGCTGACAGCATGGTGGAAGAGAGATTCTTGCGTTTCGCATAGCCTGGCATGAGCACAGGCTCCGGCGACGGAGGCCACGGAGCCAAAAACGAACATGCAAGCGAGGAACAAGGGGAACCCTGTGTTGCATTCATTTGAGGGTTCGTGCACTTGTAACATTTGGAGCCACCGTAAACTGCACACAAAGAGTGGACACTTTCTGAGTGCTTAATATGATGTTTTCGTAGGCTCATGTACAACTGTAAAACCAAGAAACACTAAAAAGCGGAAGCCCAACGAACAGAGAGCCAAGTCCGGCATTGCCAAACTCAAACTCACGAGCTGAAAGGAACAAGGTATGAACAAGAGATTTGCCCGCAAGAGGCCCAAAAGCCTCACTAGCCGTAGCGAGGTGCCAATCAAGTTGCATCGCTATGGACGCGGGGTGAAACGAATTTAAGAACTTCCCAACCAACTCTCCGGAGCACCGTGCTCGACTTTTTGCTTTTTTGGTTTGTTGGCCTCATGCTCTGACTTGGATGTTCAACCAACTTGGTAAGTACATGTCAGCGTAAGTGTAAGTAGCTTGAGCACCCAAGCATCCTGCCTTGGGGAATACGGGTCATTTGAGGAAGAGATGTGGAAGTCCGATGCGAATGACATCCACTTTTTCACAAGTGCAGACTCAAGTGCGCTTTGCCAAGCGCTGTGGCAGCATTCGCAAGGCCTGCTCAACCAAACATCATCAGCTTCCCTTCAATTGGTGGTTTGGATTGGTGGTTTGGTGGAATAAGGAGAGTTTCCATGCACCCTGTACAAAAGGCAGGGTTCAAATCCCCAAACCACCAATCCACCAACTGAGGGATACCTGACCTCCAATCAAAGCCCCGGAAAGCCCAAACGTCGGTGCCTACATCGCACTGCGCCATGGCAGGGCGACGTCCGAAAGCTAAGCGTTCAAGCAGTGTTGAAATATGAGGAGCATCCGACGGGTCAAGCCTCCAAGCCTCCCTCTTGAAAACAAGAATAACGGAATGACACCAACTGCCAACAACACTTTGACCTTGACAAGGCCGCTAGGAGCCGTTCAGAACTCCAGACGGGAAGCCGGCGCAAAGAGATCGCTCATGCACTGACACATGCAGATGCAAACACACGAACACACGCGATTGCCATGGACAGACTTGAAGACTTGTTCCCAGCCCCTCTGCTACACAAATGACATTGGTTGATAAAAAAGACTGACTGATATCAAAAGACTGGCCGCGCTTGACGCTTGAAGCGCACGCTCCTCAACCCATGCTCTTTTCTCAGCCGCCTAGGGTCTTGCAGCTTGCAGGGCGCCCCGCACAAAAACAGGACTAAACCTCTGTCTAAAGGAGCCACGGCTCATATGCTCCGTAACCCCAGCTTGATAGGATTTTTTGTCTGGGGTGGGGGGGGTGCGATCCCGTTCCCCACTGCTTCGTGCCCCGACCAAGCACTGGCTTCAAATCATCACCAGCTCCGGAAACTTCATTGTCACCTCCATGGCGGACAGCGAGTCGCCCTCCTTGCGACACAGTAAAAAATGGTCTTGCAAAAAAGAAGATCCCAAAGGCGACCTCGTAGCGTTTTTTTCAATTTCAGATTCTGGTACCAAACACCGACGTTTCTTGTTTTTTTCAGGGTATCAACCTCTATCTTTGGGGCTTTGCTGTTGGCCTTTCGGGCTCCTCCTCTGGGATCCACTGCACGTCCAGTTGCAACAGCTCGTCCTGTGGCCAGCTAGCTGTTGTGTGGCGGTCTGAGTTTTTGGCTCGGTACTCTTGCTGGTGCTCAGCAAGGAATGAGTTGGAATGACCTACAAACCATCCACCTGTGATTTTGTTGGGAATCCCCAGGCTCATTCCATTTCTCATTCCCTGCTTATCGCACCAGCAAGTCTTCCTGGGGAAGCCGGGAGTTGAACATCACCAGGGTCCCCCCTCCGTGCGAGACCTGTAGAAGTGTTCTCCAGGTTGTTGGCCCCGAAAACAGAACTGGTTTCGGCAAAAAATGAACGAACCCAGGGAATGCACCTGTAAACTGTAAACCCGCTACATTACAAGGAAACTAAAAGGGGGTGGTTTTTGGAGGTTCCAACTCATTGCATGCCTATGGAACATGGTAGCAAAAAAATCCCCCCCTCCCAATTCCACAGCTGCTAAAAGAGCGGTGGGCACAGGATAGCATGGAATCCTCGTTTCGTGGGAGGGGCCGAACAGAAATGTAGAAGCCCAAATAGACGGGCCCTGACGCACCCGATTGGACAAATGAGCCCCCATTGACACCCATTGAAACTCTGTGGGTGAAATCCAGAAAGCGCACGCACTGTTGAGATAAAACAATATTTGCAGACTGAATGATCAACCACCACCAGTAGTACCTCTTTCACGGAGAAATCGACTTCAGCTTTCGGCCTCCTGCACCTCGCTCACAGACCCCAGGACACGCTTATATCTGATATATGCCCTGATCCTGGCCTTCTCCTGCAGACCAGCATATTTGGCATGACGTCAGGTATGGTGGGTAAAAATATGGCTGAAACAAAAACACACACACAGACACAGACACACACACACACAGGCACACACACACACACACAGACACACACACACACACACAGACACACACACACAGACACACACACACACACACACACAGACACACACACAGACACACACACACACACAGACACACACACACACACACAGACACACACACACAGACACACACACAGACACACAGACACACACAGACACACACAGACACACACAGACACACACAGACACACACAGACACACACAGACACACACAGACACACACAGACACACACAGACACACACATACACACACAGACACACACAGACACACACAGACACACACACACACACACACACACACACACACACACACACACACACACACACACACACACACACACACACACACACACAGATACACACACACACACACACACACAACACACACACACACACACAACACACACACACACACACACACACACACACACACACACACACACACACACACACACACACACACACACACACACACACACACACACACACACACACACACACACTTGAACTCCGACACACACACACACAGAGACACACACACACACTTATCTCGAGAGGCTGCTCTTGCAGACACGCGATTGTACTGAAAGGGCATGAAAAAATCAATCTGCAGTGCAAATGTCACATCATCGAAACCGAACATGAAGCAAACAGTGGTAAACCGAGGAAACACATTAGGTCACGAAAGGATGGCAGGTACGCCGGAATGGCCAATTCCGGTATCCCGTCTTGCTGCCTAGCTTTGTTAGACCAGGTCAGCAGCAAGACGCCTGGTCCCCCTGCAATGTGGAATTTCCGTCCGTGCTCCAGGACGCTTCACACACACGGAGCCCCAACTGGGGCGACATCACTTGTGCAAGGCCCATTGAGTCTTGCAAGCATCAATTGTGCGAGAAAGTCTTGTGGCGATGACTGACCACGCATACTTGGCTTTGGAATTGGTCTTAAGGGAACGGAGGAGTTCAATCTCTCCCTCAGTCCAAGGCTGCGAGGCTTCAGGTTCGGCCTCAGTAGAGGCATCAGTCCTGGTCGATGTGGTAGCTTCGCTTGGTCCACGAGCAGGTTTGGATGCCGTAGATCGTGAGGAGGCCAAATCACGGGTGCGGCGAGCTCGTTTTTTGTCGGGAGAAGACGGAGGAGGAGTGGGCGGGGCCCAATGATCAGGGAATTGTTCGTCATGATCAGTGGGAAGGTGTTCATCTGGAGCATCAGGAGGTGGCTCAAAGAGGTCCTCGAGGGGGGCCAGGAGGGGTGTTGGTGGTGAGTTGGTCAGGTCCTCAACTGGCGGGGTTGAGCGTGGCCTCCGGTGCCAAATCAGGTTCGGCAGGCGGACTCTCAGGGAACTCGCGGATGGTGGCGATGCCTTGTTGGGCAATGCCAAGGATGAGTTCGAAGTCTTGGAGCAGCTGGCGTGCTGTGTTGGTATCCATGCTCGCAACGGATTTTGGTCAAACAGTCAAACAGCTGCGGCGCGAAAATCAGGTCAAATCTGTCAGGATGCAAAGGCAGAGAAGAAAACCAGTGTGGTTTCGCAAAGGACGGTTTTTCTTCTCTTTGTAAGGTGAAACCGTGTTGGAGGTACAACCTCTTCAACATTGTAAGATCGTGATCTCGCTGAAATTCAGGAAAGGAAACTCGGCTGATCAGCGTGCGTCTGGAATAATATCCAGATTCCTTATGTATCATTGGTGCGGCTGACTTTACGGAGAGCATGTTGTGCTTCTCATGCGAGGGAATGAAGGAGATGGTGCTGCTTGTGAGGTTCAGACGGAACCCCAAGAAGTCCAGGGCGGCTTCTGTTTCCAGGAAGATGTCTCCTCCATAGAAGTGTTCGTCGCACAGTATGTTGGCTGCCGGAGTCGAGAGCCACCTGGGGGTTGCGATCACGAGTCTGTTGTCCACGTCGCGGAGTAGGAGAGTATCTTCAACGGAGCGAAGTCCCGATGTGATGTGAGTGTTGGTCCAACATTGTTCGGTGA